TTCTCGGGACAGCGGCGGCCTGGGGGGGGAAAGTGGCTCAGGGGTAGCGAGTCGGGGCCCGGGGGCGGCGGGCGCAGGCAGGCGGGAGGATGAGTTCGCCGGGCGCCGAGGGCGCGGGGAAGAGCCTGCAGTACCGCGTGGACCACCTGCTGAGCGCCGTGGAGAGCGAGCTGCAGGCGGGCAGCGAGAAGGGCGACCCCACGGAGCGCGAGCTGCGCGTGGGCCTGGAGGAGAGCGAGCTGTGGCTGCGCTTCAAGGAGCTCACGAACGAGATGATCGTGACCAAGAACGGCAGGTAGGTGCCCGCGCACGCACCGGGGCCTGGACGGCTCCTGGACGGCTCCGGCTCCGGCTCCGGCCCGTCTCTGGCCGAGGACGTCTGTTTCCGCTTTCAGCTAACAGCCCGGTGTGGTTCCCGACCCGCAGCGTCTCCCGGACCAGCGCCGCCCTCAGTGCTTCCCCAGACTCTCCTGCTCCTGCCTCTGGAGGCTGCCTGGGCCTAGGGACCAGGAGGGCCTGGGGAAGGAGGACTTGGGAGTCACCTCTGGAAGTCCCCAAGAGGCTCCTCTTTGCCTCGAAGTAGTGGGAACCTCGGTGCAGGCTCCCTGCCTAGTCCTGCCGCCAGAGCCGGGGTCCTCCTGCCGCCTTCTCCCGCAGGAGAATGTTCCCGGTGCTGAAGGTGAACGTGTCCGGCCTGGACCCCAACGCCATGTACTCCTTCCTGCTGGACTTCGTGGCGGCTGACAGCCACCGCTGGAAGTACGTGAATGGGGAGTGGGTGCCGGGTGGCAAGCCTGAGCCGCAGGCGCCCAGCTGCGTTTACATCCACCCTGACTCGCCCAACTTCGGGGCCCACTGGATGAAGGCGCCCGTCTCCTTCAGCAAAGTCAAGCTCACCAACAAGCTCAACGGAGGGGGCCAGGTAGGTGTAGGTGTGAGGGACTCCAGGCCTGCGTCTGCCTGGGCGGGTCCTGGAGGGCTCTGCTTGGACAGGAGGTGACCTCTGCCCTGGAGAAGCTGCCGCCGCTGTCCCCAATGAAGCCCTTGGTGTCCAGTAGCACCAGTGCCTGGGGAAGGGATCAGAGTGGGAGCTCTCCTCTTAGCCGGCTGGAGCAACCCTCCCCAGGGAGAGGCACCAGCCCCCACAGGAAAGCCACGCTAACGCCAGTGCCTGGTGTGTTACTGCCTGAAGTCTGAGAAACCTGTACGTTGTTTTTTCTAAAGAACATTCTTTAGTTGGAAATTGTTCCTAGAAGACCCCGAAACCTGGCAGGTTGCAAACAAGCTCAGGCTTCTAAAGACCTCTAGAACCTCCTGGAGACCTTAGCACTTCTCTCTCCGAGGTCAGGAGTGTGTGATGGCGTCACGCCCTGCTGGCGTGTGGCATCTCATGCTCCTTTTGGAACAGCCTGGGTCGTGGCTCCATACTTGGCTGGGAGGCAGCCCCTGCCTCTGCACGGGGAAGGCGCTTTCGGGACCTGCACGCGGTTTTGCCCCTGCGTCTGTCCGAGCTGGGGCCTTGCCATCCCTCCCGTGTCTGTCTCCGCAGATCATGCTGAACTCCCTGCACAAGTATGAGCCTCGTATTCACATAGTGAGAGTCGGGGGGCCCCAGCGCATGGTCACCAGCCGCTGCTTTCCCGAGACCCAGTTCATCGCTGTGACGGCTTACCAGAACGAGGAGGTGTGAAGCAGGAGGGGCCGGGCGAGGGTGGGAGGTGGGGGTGGCTTTGGCCGAGACTGGAGACCCACGTGGGAGCACCCTTCCAGGGCCGATCATGACTGAGATTAGTGCACAGTGAGTTGTCGCCCCAGCATTTCCCCAACTCCTGCAAAAGCGTCTAACACTAGCAGAATCGACTGAATGCTCGAAATGAAAAGATGGGGCCTGCAGGTGGCATAGTGGTTAGGGTGCTGGACTCCCACATGGTTAGCAGCAGTTCAAGTCCCAGGCCTGGCAGCTGGAAATCATGCACCGCGCATGTGCATGTGTGTCCAAAATCCCAAGAGGAGAATGGGTTGTGGGGGACTGTCCCCCCGGGAGGTGATTTCTCACTTTCTCCCTCCCTGTCTCTTTCTGGTGAGTGCATGGGCCCTAATTTTACAAAAATGTAAAAATTAAAATAAAAAGGGAGAAAAAGAAGGGTGGGTGAGTGTTCAGGTTAAGTACCAGACTTTAGTGAGGGGTGGCCTCTCCTTACAGCCCTCCCAAACCACGCAGCGTGGAGGCAGTTAGTTACCAGAGCCTGGCTAGGTGTCTGTGCGCTTCATCTGGCCTCGCAGCACGGAGAATGTGAGATTCGTTGGTGAAGTTGGTGCTGACCACAGACTAGGGCTAGCCGACCAGTCTGTCTTTCCTAAGCAGATTCGGGTTAGGTTTGGAGCATTTCTGATTTATGCACATGGAATATTGTCACGTGTGGTTAAATTTATTGTGAATTTTACCGAGAAACTGGCATTTCAAACTTCCCACAAACATGTACTTCTTTATAAAACACGCAAGTACCCAGCTACCTCAGGCTGCAGTAGGAAGATAGCCATGGAAAGAGGGCTGGCTCTGTGTGAACATTTGGACAGATGGCTCTCAGTTTCTTGGTGCCAAATAAGTCCTCCGGCAGTATACTAGTAAATATAATGTTTTGTTTTTCAGATCACAGCTCTTAAAATTAAGTACAATCCATTTGCCAAAGCTTTTCTCGATGCAAAGGAAAGGTGAGAGAATTCTAGCTGTAGTCCTTGGGCAGAGACGTGCGGAAGAGGAAGTGCCACTGCAAACACTGTTTCCCGTGTTTTCCCTTCTTGATGATTTTGACAGAAGTGACCCCAAAGACATGATGGAGGAGGCCGGAGACAGCCAGCAGCCCGGGTGCTCCCAATGTACGGTTCGTCGCGCTCTGTGCTCCTCGCCGGGGACTACACTGGCCCAGAGCTGGGAGCTGGAGATGAGCAACATGGCTTCCAGGGTGGCCAGGACTCGTCTGGCCCTGCTGCGCAAGGCACAGGGCCCTCTGGTCAGGAGCTGGAGTGACCTACACCTCTGCTCCAGCTGGAGTTGTGGTGCTCAGCCAGCCTGGGGACAGCACCTGGTGGCTCTGTGTGGCTCCCAGGCAGCTACAGCCAGGCCTAGGATGGGTTGTTGAGACCCCGGGGATGTTCAGACCATCCTGTCCTGGGAGGGGAGAGGCCAGCTCTTCGCAGCCTCCAGGTGGTCCCTGCTGTTGTTAATAGTTGAAAATTGAAGGGCCATCCCTGGGGTGGGTGATGCTTGTGGGTACTCTTGCCCTGTGCCCACCTTGGTCCCCTGGACGGTCACCTGGACGGTGTAGCAACATTAAGGAGGGTCCTGCCATGAATCTCTCGCTGTAGTCTCATGTGGCGGCTGCCGGAGACCTGCCGGAGACTCACTCCTCCTCGATAGCTTTCTGTTCTGAAAATGTATTTTAAAAAGTCATCTTCTGGGTTAATTTAACATTTCCTCTTAAAGTGGCTAAGAGCGGTCTTAGAATGGAGTGTGAAGGTTGCTTTGGCAAGTGAGGCAGTGCCAGTCCTGGAAGACGCGCGTTGAGGCTGGGATTCAGAGCTGGAGGGGTTGTATTAGAAGGGTTGCCTTTTTGGAATGGAAAGAAAACGTGGTTAAGAGGTGGATCCCACATGGCTGGGGTGCTTGAGTGCTGGCCCGAAGGCTTGAGGCTTGTGCACGTGTGCCCCAAGTCCCACAGGGTGGAGAAATGGAGGTGAAGGGATTGCCAAGGGATTGTGCGTGACCATGCACCGTGGGTGCTTCCCCGTCTTCTCTCTCTGTTGGGCATGTGTGCCCTTTGGTAACTGAAAAGGTGGAGCTGAGTTTTGAAGGAGGGCAGGGTTGCATAGTGAGCAGAATAGGCAGGCAGAGAGGCCAGAAGCCCCTGGCAACCGCTGCTAGGAGTTGGGGATGGGGGTGCCTCTCCTCTGGTGTTGTCTCTGCCTCTGTGTTTCCATCACACCCAGCTCTGGCATGTCTTCCCTCTGGCTCTGTCTGTCCTGGTGTTCATGCCCAGCTGGGAAATGGCTCCTGTGGGGTCAGAGGGTCTTTGGGCACACCTGCTGCCAGTGGGTGAGGAGCAGCTTGCCCTGGACAGGCTGGGATTCAGGTGTGCTTGGCGGGACCTGGGCTAACCCGGGCTAACCTGGGCTAACCTGAGCTAACCTGAGCTAACCTGAGCTAAACTGGGCTAACCTGGGCTAACCTGAGCTAACCTGAACTAACCTGGGCTAACCTGAGCTAACCTGGGCTAACACGAGCTAACACGAGCTAACACGAGCTAACCCGGGCTAACCCGATCTAACCTGGGCTAACCTGGGCTAACCTGAGCTAACCTGAACTAACCTGGGCTAACCTGAGCTAACCTGGGCTAACACGAGCTAACACGAGCTAACACGAGCTAACCCGGGCTAACCCGATCTAACCTGGGCTAACCTGGGCTAACCTGAGCTAACCTGAACTAACCTGGGCTAACCTGAGCTAACCTGGGCTAACACGAGCTAACACGAGCTAACACGAGCTAACCCGGGCTAACCCGATCTAACCTGGGCTAACCTGGGCTAACCTGAGCTAACCTGAACTAACCTGGGCTAACCTGAGCTAACCTGGGCTAACACGAGCTAACACGAGCTAACACGAGCTAACCCGGGCTAACCCGATCTAACCTGGGCTAACCTGGGCTAACCTGAGCTAACCTGAACTAACCTGGGCTAACCTGAGCTAACCTGGGCTAACACGAGCTAACACGAGCTAACACGAGCTAACCCGGGCTAACCCGATCTAACCTGGGCTAACCTGGGCTAACCTGAGCTAACCTGAACTAACCTGGGCTAACCTGAGCTAACCTGGGCTAACACGAGCTAACACGAGCTAACACGAGCTAACCCGGGCTAACCCGATCTAACCTGGGCTAACCTGGGCTAACCTGAGCTAACCTGAACTAACCTGGGCTAACCTGAGCTAACCTGGGCTAACACGAGCTAACACGAGCTAACACGAGCTAACCCGGGCTAACCCGATCTAACCTGGGCTAACCTGGGCTAACCTGAGCTAACCTGAACTAACCTGGGCTAACCTGAGCTAACCTGGGCTAACACGAGCTAACACGAGCTAACACGAGCTAACCCGGGCTAACCCGATCTAACCTGGGCTAACCTGGGCTAACCTGAGCTAACCTGAACTAACCTGGGCTAACCTGAGCTAACCTGGGCTAACACGAGCTAACACGAGCTAACACGAGCTAACCCGGGCTAACCCGATCTAACCTGGGCTAACCTGGGCTAACCTGAGCTAACCTGAACTAACCTGGGCTAACCTGAGCTAACCTGGGCTAACACGAGCTAACACGAGCTAACACGAGCTAACCCGGGCTAACCCGATCTAACCTGGGCTAACCTGGGCTAACCTGAGCTAACCTGAACTAACCTGGGCTAACCTGAGCTAACCTGGGCTAACACGAGCTAACACGAGCTAACACGAGCTAACCCGGGCTAACCCGATCTAACCTGGGCTAACCTGGGCTAACCTGAGCTAACCTGAACTAACCTGGGCTAACCTGAGCTAACCTGGGCTAACACGAGCTAACACGAGCTAACACGAGCTAACCCGGGCTAACCCGATCTAACCTGGGCTAACCTGGGCTAACCTGAGCTAACCCGGGCTAACCTGGGCTAACCTGGGCCCTGAGGCTTGGCCTGAGCAGTCAACAGAGACTCCTGAGGGTCCAGCGCTTCCCTGCTGCAGTTCAAGCGCCAGTCACTCCGCATTCTTTCCCACAGCAGGGGGGTGGCTCATTCCGGGCACCAGCGCCCTCTGTCCGCCTGCCAGCCCCCACCCTCAGTTGGGAGCCCCCCTGCCGCTCCCCTCCACACACGGCTGTGAGAGGTACCCGGGCCTGAGGAGCCACCGGCCATCGCCCTACCCCAGCCCTTACGCTCACCGGAGCAGCTCTCCACGTAAGTGAGGGTCTGAGTCTAGGGGGCGGCAAGCGGCCACTCCTGGAAAGGCCTTCTTTGGGGGCCCCCTGCTGGAGCCCACACAAGGCCCAGTACTCTGGTACCTTGAAAGGAGGCCTTCCTTTCATGTCCACGCCACTGGCAGGCTCCCGGCCCAGCCTCCCCAAGGTCCAGGACAGAGACTTCCAGCCCGGAGGGTGCCTCAGAGCTGTGCTTGCAGTCTTCAAGGTGACAGTTCTGAGCCTCTTACGACCCTCGCTGAGGTGCCAACATTAGATCCCCAGGCACAAAGAGTCCCAAAACCTGGCCCAGTGCCAGGCTGCACCCCAGACCTACAAAACCAGCAGCTCTGGGCGGGGGTGTGGGGGCAGCCATCCTGGTTCTTCCCCCGCCGTGACCACCAGGACAGACGGCGAAGTCCCCGCTGCCCCGTCTGGCACCGCGCATGCCTGCACTTAATTTTGTCTGGCTCCAAAAGGAGGAAGACAGTTAGAGAATGCCATAAAGCAATTAAGCTCTTACAGCTGTTCTAAAACAAAGGGCGCGTATGTGGTAAGGACAGTCTTCGCGCCGTGCTTGACCAGAGCGTAGACTGAGGCAAGGCCACGGTTTGCATTTTGCCTCTGGAGTCCTGGTTTCTCTACTATGGTCAACTCTTATGCAATAGTCCCTGGTGAAAAGGCAGCTTGAAGTTACATTTCTTATTTTTAAACGGAAGTAACCCCCAATCGGGTGAGTACCGATTCCCCACCCACCGGCATCCACTGAGCCTGTTACTGCAGTAAACGGGCTTCAAAGGCCTGTGGGCACATGCAGTCGGTGTGAGTTTTGCACCAAAAGGTGCAAAAACTTCTGTAATCCATGCATGTTCTTTCACGCAATGTGCCTTTCCATGAGCTTTCTGAGAGCCCCGTACTTCCAGATGTTTACAGTGACAGTAAACCCTGGCCCGGGACAACCCCGACGCACACTGAGCTGACGGTCTCTGCAGTTAGTGTCCCGCGCACATTTCGTTTTCGATGGAGGGGTCTTCCATTTGCCAGTCGGAGTTCACTGCTTTCCGAGCTCTGGAAGGTCGCCAGTAACTCCGCCCTGTCTCCTGTCCCCAGCCTATTCCGACAGCTCGTCCGCATGCCTGTCCATGCTGCAGACCCATGACAACTGGTCCAACCTCAGCATGCCTGCCCACAGCAGCGTCCTCCCCGTGAGCCACACCGCCAGCCCACCTGCTGGCTCTAGGTAACGTACGGTGGGGAGTGGCCCCACCTGTGGAGCCACCTCATGCCATCTCTGTCCCCCGAGGCCCCGGGCCTGCTCTGTGCCTGTGGAGCTGTGTTAGGCACCTGCCTGTCAGCTCCCGTTAGCTCCCGGGCCTTAGGCACGTGACTGCGGGTTCCCAAGTGCGTCTGGTCTTCCTGGGAAGACTTAGGTTCCTGGAGAACTGTGATGTGGAATGGGAGCTGGGCTGTCACACGGCGAGACAAACCCAGGGCCCGGCCCTGGCTCTGCCACCTCCTGGTTCATGTGACAGATGCCGCTCACCTCGCAGAGCGCGTTCTTTGCACAGAAGGAAAAGATGCTGAGGTCACCCCAGGTGGAGCATCTCTCAGGCTGTTGAGGTCGTAGGTCGGGTCTGAAGAACTGTTTCTAGAACCTCTTTCTATGGGGGCTATCACATTAAGGAAATCGTTTGTGGGCTTTTCTGTGGATATAGGGTCAAAGTAGAGAATGACAACTATTTTGCTATTAACTTACAAATTTACATGGAAGGGAAAATGGCTCAAGAATGAAGGAAGGTGGTAAATACATTACACTTCCTCACACCTGGAAGTCGAAGCAGCAGTGCTAGAAGTCAGCCCTCATTTTCCAGTTAGGAACCTGAAACACTGAACAGGTGTTTGCTCCCAGTGGCGTGAGCCCGGGACCCAGAGACCCGGACCTCAGAGGCAGTGCGTCATTGTGTGTAGAGTATTAAAATATGCCTAGTCTCTTAACTCTCCTCATCTAGGAAACTGTTCCTTTGCAATCCCATTACTCCTTTTTTTTTTTTTTTGAGAGGTTTTTGCTATAGGTTGCGTGCGCTCGCCAGACAGACAGAGACATAGAGAGAGAAAGCGAGAAATCACCCCCCAGGGGGGATGGCCATGCCGCAATCCCTTCTCCTCCATTCTCCTCTCGGGATCTTGGGCACGCACGCACACGGTCCCGGCGTGAATTTTAAGCCATCGGTTCCGGGACCCGAACCGCAGTCGACTACGTGGGAGTCCAGCGACATAGCCATTATGCTAGCTGCTGGTTCCCGCAATCCCATTACTCTTAAAAATAAAGCAAAGAGTGCCTGAATGGCAGACCTCTCAGGGGCTCTGGGCAGCCCGCCCACTGCAGACGACCAGGGCTACAGACTGCGGGCAGGGGACCCAGGGAAGGGTTCGATGTGGCTCTCCCTGGTGTCTCAGAGCCGCAGTCGCCCATCTGTGAGGTGGACAGTCCTCTGCCTCTGCCTTGACTGAGCAGGCTGTTTACCAGGTCACATGCTGCTGGCCACGGCTGGGCAGACGGCACAGCAGTGGAACGTGAGGTCTCATTCGTTGTGCGGAGGACGCTGCCGAGCTGTTCCCGGAACAGAGCTGTGGCAGCCTTACCCCGTTCGCGTCTGTGTGCGCCAGACGACTTCAGTCACTTCTTGTTTCCTCGCTCGCTACACTGGGAGCCTGCCTCACATAGGCCAGGAGCGATTGTGGGGAGCGGACGCACTCCCCGGTCTGACTCCCAGGTCCCCATCCCCATTGCTCAGCACCCGGCCACTGGGGCAGGTGTCTGTGCTGGAGCCAGCTGGCCACTCGGGAGGGCTGCCTCAGTCACACGGCCGCTGCGGTGGCTGGGCTGCCGGTTTAGCACAGGCTGGGCTCATCTGGTGGAACTCTTGGGTGTAGCTGAGAATTTCATGTTCTGAGTGAGAATGCAAACCTACCAGCCTGGGGGTTAGCAGATGGTGTAGCGGTTGCATTGCTGGACTCCCACATGGCTGACAGCGGTTCAAATCCCAGACCTGGTGTCTTCAAAATCATGCCAGGTGCGTGTGGGTGCGTGCCCAAGATCCCAGGAGGAGAATGAAGGAGAAGGGATTGCGTGGTGGCCATCCCCCCTGGAGGGCAA